GGAACGGGCTTCCGTATAAGTACGGACGAAACTTCGTGATCGCCCAGACGACCGCAAGGCATTCTTTTTCAGTCGTGGAGTAATTTCGCTCCGCCTTGGACAATGTCCGACTTGCGTAGGCGATGACTCGCTCGGTGCCTTCTTGTACTTGAACCAGTACCGCGCCAAGTCCTGCGTTACTTGCGTCCGTGTGAATCTCGGTTTCCGCATCCTGGTCGAAATGTCCAAGAACGGGAGGCGCCTGCAGTCGTCGCTTCAGCTCGTCGAATGCCTGCTGCTGCTCCTCGGCCCATTCGAACTTCTCGGCGTCCTTCGTGAGGCTTGTGAGCGGTGCGGAAATCCTCGCGAAATCTCGAACGAAGCGCCGATAGTAGGCACATAGCCCAAGGAACCTTCGCACGGCCTTCTTGTCTGCCGGCGCTGGAAATGCTGCGACGGCGCGAGTCTTCTCTGGGTCGGGGCGAACGCCTTCGTTACTGACCACGTGACCTAGGAACTTCAGCTCGTCATAGGCGAACCGACACTTTGACGGCTTCAGGGTGAGTCCGGCGGTCCGTATGGCTTGGAGAACAGCTCGCAGTCGTCGCAGGTGCTCGTCGAAGTCGCTGGAAAACACAACGACGTCGTCGAGGTAGACGAGACAGCTCTGCCACTTCAGTCCTGCCAGTACGGTGTCCATGACACGCTGGAAAGTTGCTGGCGCCGTGCACAGTCCGAAGGGCATCACCTTGAACTCGTACAGCCCATCCGGTGTGACGAAAGCTGTCTTCTCTCGGTCCCGCTCGTCGACTTCGATCTGCCAGTAGCCGCTCTTCAGGTCCATCGATGAAAAGTATCGGGAGTGGCGCAGCCGGTCTAACGTGTCGTCGATGCGGGGGAGTGGATAGACGTCTTTCTTCGTTACCGCGTTCAGCTGCCGGTAGTCCACGCAGAACCTAAGCGTTCCGTCCTTCTTCTTAACCAGTACAACTGGAGAGGCCCACGGACTGCTTGAGGGTTGGATTATGTCGTCATTCAGCATCTCTTGCACTTGCTCCTGGATCACCTCCCTTTCTTTAGCGGAGACTCTGTACGGCGATCGATGCACAGGGCGCGCGTCGTCCTCGGTAACGATGCGGTGCTTGGCAACCGCTGTCTGGCGCACCTTCGACGACGTCGCAAAGCAGTCGCGGTATTCGGCGAGGAGGTTAACCAGCTGACGCCGTTCAGGGTCCGGAAGCTTAGGGTCAATGTCGAGCTGTGTTGGCGACGTACTGTCTTGCTGGGGCGGCGAGGATTCGTCAATAATCGCGGTGATTTCGGCGGGGTCTCGGAGTTTCTCGACGTGGCCCACGGCTGCACCTTTCGTGAGGTGTTGCGTTTCGTTTCGGAAGTTCGTCACGAGGGCCACAGTCCGCCCATCCTGAAGTTCAGCTACTCCCCTTGCGACGCCTATGCCTCTTCCCAGGAGCAATTGGAGGCTTCCCTCGAGAAGAACTTCGCCACAGGAAGCTTCATCGATCCCGACAAGTACGAAAACACTCGACTGCGGTGGTAGGTTTACGTGGTTTTCGAGGACTCGGACCGTGGGTGACGTCGCTTGGGGTTCCTCCGCTGGTGGAGCAGGTTTTCGTAGCGTCAGCCGGTTTGTTCCGAGGTCGATGACGGCGCCATACTCGCAGAGAAAGTCCATTCCGAGAATAACGTCCCTCGAACAGTCTTGCAGAACGACGAACTTTACCGGACACGTCTCGCCGTGAATCTCGACGCGAGCAGTGCACCTTCCGACGGGCGTGATGAGATGTCCTCCTGCGGTTCGTATTTGGGGTCCATCCCACGGCGTCATGACTTTGCGAAGGCGGCGGGAGAGCCTTCCACTCAAGACCGAGTAGTCTGCTCCGGTGTCAACGAGTGCTGATGCGTCGTAGCCGTCAATGACGACATTCAGGTTATTGGACACCGCTGCAGGGGCGTCGTTTCGGTCTCTGGTAGCGTTCGGGTGGGGGCCCTCCGACGTTCGTGGAGGATCTTGGCGTCGGTCGTCTTCGGCAACTCCACCTCCAGGGGTTGCCGCGCCTAGTTTCCCCGGCGTGGAGCGAGGGGCGACAGGCTTTCACGTCGGGGTCGGTGCATCGGCGAAGCTGGACGTCGTGGCGAAGGTGACCGGAACTCTCGGCGGAACGCAGGCTCGGGGGACTGAGGTCGTCGCAGGTACTCGTCGATTTCCCGAGGGCGTTCACCATAACGGGGTCGCGGGTCGTTCGGGTGGAACCCGCGCAGCCCGAGTCGTCGGTATGGGCATCGGCGGTACACATGGTCAGCTTCCCCGCAGTGGTAACACAGCGGGCGTCGGTCGGCCGTCCTCCAGACGTCTGTCTTCCTCGGCGCAGGTTGCTCTGGGTGCGCCTGATCTTCCTGTCGTCGGGGGTACTGCGGCGTTGGGGCGTCTCTTCGGGGTGGCGACGTGGCTTGACGGGGAGCTTGCGGCGGTCGTCGGGCCATCGCGGCGTAGCTCAACGTCGGTTCCTCCGGTGCCACCGTGGTGACGGGAACCTCTGGTTGGAGCGCCCGATGCACTTCTTCTCGGACAGCCTCGGCGATGGAAAGGGTTGGCGGACGGCTGGTAGTTGGCAGCAACCTTCGCAGTTCCTCCCGGACAACCTCTCGGATAATTTCTCGGATGTCCGGTGTGCCCAGAGTGTTTTCGCCGTTAAGCAGTGTGGGTGCAACGACGCCTGGATTTCGCTGGTAGTGGGAAACACGAGCTTGAAGCGCGCGCTCGATGTTGGTTGCTTCGGCGATGAAGGCTTCGACGGTGGTAGGCGGGCTCCGCACAAGGCCACCGAAGATGTTTTCCTTCACACCGCGCATCAAGACCCGCAGCTTTTTCTCTTCGGGAGCGGTTGGGTCGGCGCGATTCATGAGGTGAAGAACGTCTTCGACGAAGCTTGTGACGCTCTCGGTCGGCCTTTGGGTTCTCGCTCGCAGGAGTTCTTCGGCACGCTGCCGTCGGTGCTGGTTGGCAAAGGTCCGTCGCAGCTCGGCCTGGAATTCTTCCCACGACGCAATGGACGCTTCGTGGTTCTCGAACCACGTGCGTGCCGTGCCTTCCAGAGAGAAGTAGACGTTCTGGAGGCACTGCTCCGGTGTCCATGCGTTATGGCGGGCAACTCGTTCGTAATGTTGCAGCCAATCTTCAACGTCCTCGTGGACCTCCCCGTGGAATGGCGTCGGAGTCCGGGGTGCGACGGGAAGGTATACCACGGCGGCGGCGGACGGGTTCTGCGAGGACTGGTTGTCCATCGTCGGCCTCGTTGGCTGCCTGGTCCGGGGTGGCAGAAGTCCGTGTTCCGGGGGTAGACCTTGGGTGCGGCGACTGGATCGGGTCTCGATCTGGTCTTCGCTCGGTCCTCGGGAGGCTGGGTCCGGACTTGCACTGCGGGCACTCGGAGGGGAGCGTTGCACGGGCATGCGGGTACCCAGCACCTCCACCAAAGTGTCACGGGTGGTGACCAAAGAAAACAGAAAATGAACAAGAAGAGATAAACGTTTAATGTGGCGAACTTGTGCCAAAAATAAAAGGGTACAAAAGATAATAACGGAGCGTCGCGGGCGTCGATGTCGGCGAAACCGCAGGATCGAGCGCAGAGGCGAGACTGACTCGACAAGGTCGCGGGCGGCCTCTTATCTAGAATGAGTCACTATCTCGAAGATTCGGCGAAAGCGGCTCGAGCGTCGCGTGATCGGGGCGAGAATGAACACGCACTTTCTAGAAAACAAAAGCAGGAATAAATGATAGAAGTTACGTGCGGTACATGAATAGACGAGAACTTTCTGGGGGTCCGTGACCGAGCGTTGCTTTCTCAGCCCTGCGCGCGGCAATATACAGAGTACTGCAAGCACCCTTCATCTCAGCCGTTCAGCCATTAGGGTAGAGGCCAGGGTCACTAAACATATTGTTCAGAGTAGCGGTAACGTCAGCAATCTTAGATCATTGGTGGCATTTATCTGAAGCTTTATTTCACATCGGACGAAATTGGGTTTTCCGTCGTCCTGGATTGTCAGAAAAGTCCGCGACAGAGCAAAACGATATGGCCCGAGCTTTCTGAGACCGTTTCTGAAGCTGAGGAAGTCGAAGTTTTTCATCGTAATGGTCGCCAACTGCGTCCGCTCTGCACCAAAATGACGGCGCCCAGTAAAAAATCGTGTAGGCCATCCTCGGAAACTTTTTCACTTGGGGACAAATTGAGCGCAGTCCTGTCATTTCCTTTCATTATGATTTTCGTTTTTCCAGCCTCATCGTAATGCCATTTGAGAATAGTGATCGCAATCATTGAGACCAAAACGCAGACTTGTGCAGTACTCATTATAAGCAATCATATTACTTGGAATCGATTACTTTTGGAAATCCGAAAATTACTCGTAGCCGTTTACTTTTTCTTTTCCCCCCATTTCCCATTCTAGTGTTTGTTTCTACAAGTTTCATACCACGCGGAAATTTCGAACCAAATCTCCAACAGGCGTATGGTTTACGAAAATTGGGGAATTAAGACATAAGTAGTTCGTAATTCGGTGATTCTAATCCCTTAGTGGACAGTACGAGAGACCTGTTTTGAAACCGGCAGAAAACTCTCTCGTTTTTAAAATCTGAAGCGGAGGAGTAACGGTCACTTTTTCAAGTAACGAATTACTTTTCATCTCGAGTAATCGAGCAATCTGATTGATAACGTTTTAAGCGGAAGTAATTGTAATTGTAATCGATTATATTTTTTCGAGTAACGTGTACCAGACTTATAGTTTGACTATGAAGCTAATTGAAAACATAAAAAAAAGGATTACCGGGCGTCTCGAGTACCCCTTGGTTGATGAGTGTTAGGACTATCGTTGTTTCGGCTTAGTGCTACGTAAGGTCTCTAGAAGCATGCATTTCTTGCTAGTTGATTTTCACCCTCACGATTATACGATAAAAAAAAGAAAATCAGACATATGGGACAGAGTATTAAAATAACGAAAATTCTTACTTGGTGTGTGGAGGCATCCGACAGCTTTTCAAACTCTGCTGCTTGAACCACGCTTTCAATTTTGTAGCCCTGAAAAGAAATGCAAAACAATACGAAATTATTGAAAACTGTCTGCCTTGCAGCTGCCCGTCTTTTGGAAAAAATGTGGTGCAGATAAAATTGTTTTTAAATTTTATTTGTTCTGTACAAAATTTGTTTTAAAAGTTTTGACTCCTCTCAAAAACCACGTAGCTAAGGGCTTGAACATTTTTGTCAAGACAGAAAATACGTAACAATCGGGTTCAGTGGTCAGGGGACCAGGGAAAAAAATTAGAAAAATAACCTGCAGCTCATAGTTTATTGAGAGTCGGTTAGCAGCATGCCCGCTTAGCTGTCGAGTTAATTTTTTTTTTTAACATTGCAATACATTCTTTAAGAGTGTTCTTGGTCCTGCCACATTCTTCGAAAAAAAAAAAAAAACAATGAAAGCTGATTAGAAAGAGCTTTTTCATACAATCGCGCAGCAGTCATCCAGCTGTGTTTGGAGATTTGTGTTTGTCCTCTGTCCTTCTCGTTCCCCTTCTCCAGGGATTATTATCGTCAAATCCAAAGTACCTGATTTTTTCTATATCACTTCTAATTTTTACTTTTCATCCAGACACTTTACATTATTTTTACATTTATACAGAAAGCAGCTAGTGTAGAGGGGGAATCACGTAATTTTGTTTTCTTTGGAGTTTCTTCTCCAACCTTGTGACACATCAAATTCGACTAAGAAGCTGTGCGAATAATACAGTATGAACTTCAGCATGAAGCAGGCACACGAGCAAACTCTAATGGCGAATTCCACTGGGCGTTTTGGAGCGCGCCGGGATCAGTTGACCAGATCCGGACTGGAGCACACGATCCGAACGGGGTCGCGCCGCCTACGGATCTCCAGGACAACATGACCACTGCTCCGGGATCGGCGCATGCCTTCCCGTCATTCAACTGCCCGGGAATCCCCTTTCCGTGGCCGCCGCGGTCGTTTTGAAGACGTTTTCGTAATCGCGGCGCTAACACGTGTTCGGCGCACGAGCGGCAGGAATGGCTCAGGCGCTTCTAGCAAAGATTGCCGGAATGCCCGTGGCGCGGAAAATACCTTCTCTTCTCCTTCCTGGAAAACGAATCGGCTGTCGAGCCAAGGGTAAGCAAGCGGCCATTACGAATTCTTCTGATGTCGAGACAATCTAGGAGCCCAGCACGTGACGTGCGTCTTCTTCTTCTGAGGCGAGATGGGCGAGATCAGGCGAGATGCCCCACGAGAAAGAAAGTCACGTGTGTGCGCCGAGGGCTGGCCCGGCTGGCTTCCGGTTGAATCCGCCGATATCGTGGGAGCGACTTTTCTCGGATCCAGATCGAGATCTGGAGCGGGAGCTAATCCAAAACGACCAGTGAAACACGTCGGTCTCGATCCCGATCGCCAAGTAAATAGGCTCGCTCCAGAAAAGTTAATCCCGGCGCGCTCCAAAACGACCAGTGGAATTTGCCATAACAATGTCCGGAGCCATGCATGTGCTCCGAGCATTGTCAGTTCATGACACGTGAATCTGATGCATTAGTACGAGCACGGCCGGACTGGAAGCGCGCGCTCTCTTTCTCTTCTTACGGCCTTTGCAATCACCCGGGAGTCAATGGCATTTTTTCTCCGCATGTATACTTTGTTTCAGCTTCGGTCCAGACGCAGCCGATGCTACAAGCGCGAGCATGTGGCCCAGAACAGTGCTTGCACTGCACGAGCGCGCATGCTTGGCAGGGATGCTGAAAGCCCGGAGTTCGCGCTTGTAGCTTTGGCTGCGTCTGGACCGAAGCTGAAACGAAGTAGTTCACTTGCTTGCCGCCAGGGGCGCAACCACTTCACCCACTCGGCGAATCCCTTCGAGCTGCTTAAAAGGTTAAACCGTTGCGTCCAATAAAAATTTAGTTGCAAGTCAGCGCTCTGTCTGTGTCCTGCTTTACCCTGTCCGTCGTTTTTTGCGCTGTTTTAACCTTTTAAGTATGTCATACCAACTCGCCCAGGCTTCAACTTTAGCAAGCCTTCGAGCTGCTTTGAGCTGGTGTTCGAGCTTCGTAGGTTGTTGTTTTGGCAACGGTTTATTGAACTTCGCTCCGATTTAAGTCATGCAAGGGCTGTCACAGCAGCCCTTGATCACATTGTCACAAAAAGGAAAAACACCTTTTAAGCAAATACAAATGTCAGACACTGATTCTGAGGAGTTGACAGCGGCTGTGTCCGACTCGGTTACCACTGACCTGAAAAAACTGAAAGAGCCTTGCGCTCCATCTCCATCCCTGACATACTCTGGTCTGGTGTACGTCGGTGACTATCTGGTGAAACTCATTAGTGAGTTTGGGTGCGCCGCCTGTGTTATGCTGTTGACTACTAGTAACAGAGGTGATCTTCTGTTCGTCTTATTGCAAGGTCAGGATAAAAGCGGACTTCATTATCCAAATCCTAAATTCCTCGCACTTGCGAACATTTTTTTTTAAGGCTGTTAAGCTGTACAAATGTGCACGAAGTTCTGCAACTACTCATTGCACCCCACCTTGAAGACGCGCCAATCCTTAGTTGCCCAGAGGGCATTGACAACAGTCACTCAAAGCGCTTGGCTGGTTTAATTTGCAAGAAGTTCCTCAGAATACTTCTGATTAACCATGCAAAGACAGCCACGGACAGAAACGAAAAATCAGCTGGATATGTGCACAAGCTCTCGAGGAAGCACTTTAGGCTGCAATATGCACTGTGCGAAAATTGTACAGACTACTACACCCTCGTCTAGAGCAACTGACCGACTTTATGTGCGGCCTATGAAACGATGATGCAGACGACGGCAATAGATATATTGGGCCTGCTTACATTTGACGAGAGTGCACGAATTATTTATCATTTAAAGTTCCTCCACGTAGAAGGGGTCGACCTCCTCCTGCTCTTGAGTTGCAACAGAGATCCTGGAAGTAAATACGAGTATAGTTTTTCCGCAATTGCATTCGCTTTCTCTACTTGCTACTTTTACTGTCGAATCTCTGGGAGATGTGCGTCAAATATTCACTGTTTTGGGCTCATCAGAAGCGCATTAGATAGTGGCCGAGGATCTAAACGTAAAGATCAGGTGTCAAAGGCTATCAAAATCTCGGCCGCAAGTTACGACAGCGCTGAGATACACTGTCAGACGCGCTCTGTGCAAACGGCAAAGGGTAGCCCAGGGGTGGGGTGACAGCGCCCCCCGCGAATCGCGGCGGGAGGTGGCGATTGCCCCAATTGCAAAGGCCGTAAGAAGAGAAAGAGAGCACGAGCTTCCAGTCCGGCCGTGGTAGGAGCCGTCTACAGAACAGCTGACAGCTTGATTTCACCATAATTTAAAGGGGTCATGAAACGATTTGTCTACTTCTTCCTCCTTAGCTTTAATCCTCAACTCAAATGCGAATTGTGAAATCACGTGGTCGTGACATTCCTTCGGCACCGGTGCGATGACTCCTAGCTTCCATCGTGCTTTTTATGCACGCCATAGAACTTGTCATTCCCCAGTGACATTAAGTTCCGTCAGGGCACTCATTGGCCACGAACGCGAATCCAAATATTCGTCGACGGATTGATTGTTGACGAGCGCATACGTCCGAGTGACGCAGTTCTCGTGTCCAATGCGTGAGCTGGGCTCTGCTGACGTCAGTTTGGCGCCGGTGACGCGCTTTTGGAACCGCGAATGTATCATAGTGAATTAAAACTTGTTGGCCTAGTTGGTTCATGATGCAGAATAGAGGTTTTTTGCGCGACACAGGGGACAATTACAAGCGAGTAGACACGGACAAGCGCAAACTTTCAACTACTTTATTCGTGCGCATTCGACCACGAACATCCAGAAAGAGCATGCGCAGCACGCTACACAGGCGAAAAAAAACCGAAAATAGATAATAGAGTCATCCACCAAGACACATTCCACGATAGTCATTATCGAACCAGCAACCCGGATAAAAACTGCACTTCACTTTCAAACAAAGAAACCGAGGTATCGCTGACACAGTCATGGTTCTTCTTTATATAAAAAGCTTCCATCAATTCTCTGGCTGTGCTGTCTTTGCTTCTACCCAAGATCCTAATCTCCCGAAATCGCGCATCACACCCACAGTCGGCACAGTGAGTAGGCAAGTGTGCATTGCCTTTATTCCTGATCGACAATTCATGTTCCCGTGCGCGGTCATTAACGCAGCGACCAGTTTGACCAATATATACTTTCCCACACGAGAGCGGAATCTCGTATACCACCGCTGTGGCACAATCCACAAACGGTCGGGCGTGCTTTTTGTTGCAGCCACCTGTCTTTTCTCTTCCCGAGGAAATCCTCGGGCAAAGGCCCGCAAGCTTGCGTGGCGCAGAGAATACGAAAGGTACATTGTACCTATTCGCTACCTTCTTGAGGTTGTGGGACACTTTGTGTATATATGGCACCACTTCTGGTCTACACATCCTTAGTGGCGGCTCTGGCCGCGTCCTCTGCTTTTCCTTGGTCTTCTGGAGCAACGTCTCAGCAACCGCCGTAATGACCGAGCAGGGGAAACCGGCAGACTTCAGCCTGGCTACCTGATCATTAAATTTAATGATCAGGTAGCCAGGCTGAAGTCTGCCGGTTTCCCCTGCTCGGTCATTACGGCGGTTGCTGAGACGTTGCTCCAGAAGACCAAGGAAAAGCAGAGGACGCGGCCAGAGCCGCCACTAAGGATGTGTAGACCAGAAGTGGTGCCATATATACACAAAGTGTCCCACAACCTCAAGAAGGTAGCGAATAGGTACAATGTACCTTTCGTATTCCCTGCGCCACGCAAGCTTGCGGGCCTTTGCCCGAGGATTTCCTCGGGAAGAGAAAAGACAGGTGGCTGCAACAAAAAGCACGCCCGACCGTTTGTGGATTGTGCCACAGCGGTGGTATACGAGATTCCGCTCTCGTGTGGGAAAGTATATATTGGTCAAACTGGTCGCTGCGTTAATGACCGCGCACGGGAACATGAATTGTCGATCAGGAATAAAGGCAATGCACACTTGCCTACTCACTGTGCCG